TGGATGGATGGATGATGGATGGGTGGGGGGATAGATAAATGGATGGATGGGGTGGGTAGATGGATGGATGGATGAATGGGTGGGTAGATGGATGAATGATAAATGGATGGATGGATGGATGCATGAATGATAAATAGGTGGATGGATGATGGAGTGGTAGGTGGGTGGATGGATGGATGTATAGATGAATGAATGGATGGATGATGGGTGGGTGGATGGATAAATGGATGGATGCATTAATGATAGATAGGCCGATGGATGATGGAGGGGTAGATGGATGGATAAATGGGTGGATGGATGATAAATGGATGGATGGATGGTTGGTGGGTGGGTGGATAGATAAATGGATGGATGGGTGGGTAGATGGATGATAAATGGATGGATGGATGATGGGTGGGTGGGTGGATGGATAAATGGATGAATGGGTGGATGGATGATAAATGGATGGATGGATGAATGATAGATAGATGGATGGATGATGGAGGGGTGGATGGGTGATGTATAGATGTAAATAGATATATAAATAGATGTTGTGAAGAGAGTTGTCAGCACGCCACTGTTGTTCCTGTCTGATGTTCTGTGTGTTTCTGGCTCCTGCAGGCTGATGAAACTCAAGACGTTCTGCACTTTAACTACACCTCGTGGCCGGATCACGGCGTGCCGACAGTCAACGCCATCGAGAGCATCTTACAGTTCGTTCAGATTGTACGGCAGCAGGTCAACAGGACCAAAGGGCCCATCGTGGTCCACTGCAGGTGAGACTCCGGCGCTGATGTGAGAGTCTGTGGTACAGGAGTCACTCCAGCTACACCAGTGGTTCTCAAAATGGGGGGCGGACTTAGTGATTTGGGGGCCCTAAGCAAATTTCAGGTATGGGGCCCCAACTCAATAACTATATGCTCTTTTACGCCTAACCCTTATTTTACTCGCTCTCTCTCTCTCATAGGTTATAGATTTATTTACCCCTTCACAACTTAAGTAAATAATTAGTCAACCTGATGCTGTTCTAAAGCCATATTAGGCTACCTTATTTTTTTTGGATCACAAAAGAAGACATTATAAAAAATGCTTGCACTTGTAAATTTAATGAATTGTAAACTTCTTTAATCTTTTTACGAAAAGGATTAAAATGTCATAAAAATTATCCCATGCAACTCATTCCATATTCCAAGTGTTCTGAGGGCATACGGTAGGATTTACCGAGAAACAAATCGAAAATGTAATCTATTATTAAGAGAAAATCTCCAGTCATCGCATTCATGCATTTATATGAGTGCGCGGCATATCTCGCTCTCAGCTTCACTCACCGTGTCTACACTGGACGCGACAAAGCGAACGCTGAAAATTATTTTTAACTTTGTGTCAGTATGTCATTAATAGAACGAGGCATCATTTTACTGTCAGGGGTTTGTCGTGTCGCGCTGCGCCACATCCAGTGTAGACAGCATCACTGATTATAATGGGTTCTACTGTATTTTGCCGCTCACGTCCAGTGCAGAGTATGTGAGCGGAGTGGAGTGGCAACAATTTCCCCTCCGCGCTACGGCTAAAATATTTCAGTATGTTTAAAATATCACAGTTCTGTTCATAACATATATTAAAATAAAAAATAAAATAAAATAACAGGAGAGTAGTTTCAAAGTGGCTTATTGGAACACTAGTGTGCATGCCAAGCTAATTACATGGTTGTCAGCATTAAAAGGTATCATTGCTGTTTTTTGCAGTGCAAATTTTGTTTGTGAAGGATGCAAATAACTGTTTTTGTCATTTATTTTACCTATGGATCGCTGAATTTCTTACTGCTCATTCTAAATGAAGGATACAGATGAAGTAGCACTGAAAGATTACATTTGTTTGAATGCATTATTGAGAGAGTGATTGCGTGTGAATAAGTGTACCTTTTTAAATCATGCGTTCCCCCGAAAATATTTATCTAAAAGGAACAAACCAATTCCTTGAGAACTATAACTTCCCATTCATGTCCATTGCCGTCATCATAACCTTCACATTCTTTCTGATTTGAGTGATCCATCTGTATCAAGCTAGCTAAATATGTTTAACATGTGAATTCTTGCTTATTTTTCTATGCAGTTAAATTATGGGCAGTTGGCATGAATTGTACTTGTGATTGTAATTGTACTCAGAGCAAGTGAAAACCACGATGCTCCGACTTTTAAAATATCCGCTCTTCACTCCATTCAAAATCACACCGCTCTGCTCTCTGCTCTCACTACACTCCGCTAACATACTCTGGTCCAGTGTAGACACTGTGTTAAATGTCATTGGTGAGGAGGAAAGCCGTGTCCTAAGCCTTAAAACACTGGCAGCGCAGACAGCATGAAACCCACAAAAAATAAGAGAGAATAGTTATTCTCTGTATGTTATTTTTCAACGTTTCAAGTGATGCAGGTTTTTCAATTTAAAAAAAAAGCAAAAACTGTTTAGTGAACTTATTTGGTAGGCTGAGGTGGGATGGGGATTCGGGGGAGGGGGCGCCAGATTTTTTTATAGGTTTAAAGGGGGGTGCGATCACTGTGGCTCACAGCCGTCTATTGATTCCTGCTTGTGGTTTTGCTTCAGCTCTTCACCAATGTTACTGACACAGTATGATGGAACAGACACTGATGTGTGTGTGTGTGTGTGTGTGTGTGTCAGTGCTGGAGTGGGCCGGACCGGCACCTTCATCGCTCTGGACCGGCTGATGCAGCACATTCAGGAACACGAGTATGTGGACGTCTTGGGACTGGTGTCAGACATGCGCTCACACAGGCTCTCCATGGTCCAAACCGAGGTACAGAACCCGAACCAGAAACCGAATCAGATCCAGAACCGAACACTGAATCTGAACCAGAAACCGAATCAGATCCAGAACCAAACACTGAATCTGAACCAGAGCCAGAAACTGAATCAAATCCAGAAATAAACACTGAACCAGAACCAGAAACCGAATCAAATACAGAACCAAACACTGAACTTGAACCAGAACCAGAAATAGAATCAGATCCAGAACCAAACACTAAATCTGAACCAGAACCAAAATCCGAATCAGATCCAGAACCAAACACTGAATCTGAACCAGAACCAGAAACCGAATCAGATCCAGAACCAGAAACTGAACCAGAAACCGAATCAGATCCAGAACCGAACACTGAATCTGAACCAGAAACCGAATCAGATCCAGAACCAAACACTGAATCTGAACCAGAGCCAGAAACTGAATCAAATCCAGAAATAAACACTGAACCAGAACCAGAAACCGAATCAAATACAGAACCAAACACTGAACTTGAACCAGAACCAGAAATAGAATCAGATCCAGAACCAAACACTAAATCTGAACCAGAACCAAAATCCGAATCAGATCCAGAACCAAACACTGAATCTGAATCTGAACCTGAACCAGAAACCAAATCAGATCCAGAACCAAACACTGAACCTGAACCTGAACCTGAACCAGAACCAGAAACCGAATCAGATCACGAACCAAACACTGAATCTGAACTAGAACCAGAAACCGAATCAGATCCAAAACCAAACACTGAATCTGAACCATAACTGGAATCCAAATTAGATCCAGAACCAAACACTGAATCTGAACCAGATCCAGAACCAAACACTGAACCTGAACCAGAAACCGAATAAAATCCAGACCCAAACACTGAATCTGAACCAGAAACCGAATCAGATCCAGAACCAGAAACTGAACCTGAACCAGAAACTGAATCAGATCCAGAACCAAACACTGAATCTGAACCAGAACCAGAAACCGAATCAGATCCAGAACCAGAAACTGAACCAGAAACCGAATCAGATCCAGAACCAGAACCTGAACCAGGGGCTCTTCTCAACTGCTGTTTTATTCTAGAAAAATGTTAAGAATATTTTATATTCCCAAATACTGTATATGTCTTAAGAATGCTCTTCTGTTTTTCTTAAGATTGTTCTTAAGACAAAACTGAATAAGAATTCAAATTCTTTCAAAGAATCTTCTTCAAAATGATTGTAAATAGGCTCTTAAAGTCCTCAAACGTGAGATATTTAAAATAAATTTATTGGGTTGTTTCAAGTTAATTGTTGTAATTAAACATAACAATATAACACTAATGCAACGTTATTTAAAACACAGACTTTTCAGTCTTTTTTCAGTTAATTGATCTGTGACTAGTCAAAAAAATGTTCACAAGAAAATATTTGAGAACTTTGAGAATTTCACTTGAGAACATTTTGTTCTCCGTTCTCCGTTTTGAAGATTTGAAGATCACAATTCTGAACTTTTTTGTCACAATTTATAATTGCAAGAAAAAGTGAGAATTGTGAGAAAGAAAGTCTAAATGACATGTTTTATTTTTTATTCTGTGGCAGAAATGAGAAAACAACTCGGATAGATATCTGTGAGATATAAAGTCAGAATATTGATATAAACTCATAATTGTTAGATATCAAGTTAAAATTGCGGAAATTTGCTTCCATATGAATCCAGGCCTGGAACGGTAAAATGACATGTAATGTGTGTGTGTGTGTGTGTGTGTGTGTGTGCGAGTGCAGGAGCAGTACGTGTTCATCCATCAGTGTGTCCTGCTTATGTGGAAAAAGAAGAAGCAGCAGACGCACACGAGCGACGTCATCTACGAGAATGTCAGCAAGTCCTAATGAAGTGAGACCTCAAAATTAATATCAATTTTATGAATATGAATAATATATATAAATGGATGGATGGATGGATGGATGGATAGAGGGGTGGGTGGATGGATAATGGATGGATGGATGGATGGATAGATTGGTGGGGTTGGATGGATGGATGATGGGGGATGGATAGTTGGGTAGATGGATGATGGGTGGATGGATAGTTGGGTAGATGGATGATAGATGGATGGATGGATGGATGGATGGATGGGTGAATGGATGGATAGATGGGTGAATGGATGGATGGATAGATGAGTGAATGGATAGATGGATAGATGGGTGAATGGATGGATAATTGGATGATGGGTGGATAGATGGGTGGATGGGTGGATAGATGGGTGAATGGATGGATAATTGGATGATGGGTGGGTGGATGGATAGATGGATGGATGGGTGGATACATGGGTGAATGGATGGATGGATAGATGGATGGATGATGGGTGGATGGATAGTTGGGTGGATGGATGATGGGTAGATGGGTGGCTGGATGGGTGAATGAATGGATGGATGGATGATTGATGGATGGATAGATGGATAATTGGGTGGATGGATGGATGGTGGATAGATGGATGGATGGATGGGTGAATGGATGGATAGATGGGTGAATGGATGGATGGATAGATGAGTGAATGGATAGATGGATAGATGGGTGAATGGATGGATAATTGGATGGATGGATGAATGGATGGATGGATGGGTGGATAGATGGATGGGTGGGTGGTTGGATGGATGGATGGGTGGTTGGATGGATGGATGGGTGAATGGATGGATGGATGGGTGGTTGGATGGATGGATGGGTGAATGGATGGATGGATGGGTGGTTGGATGGATGGATGGGTGAATGGATGGATGGATGGGTGGTTGGATGGATGGATGGGTGAATGGATGGATGGATGGGTGGTTGGATGGATGGATGGGTGAATGGATGGATGGATGGGTGGTTGGATGGATGGATGGGTGAATGGATGGATGGATGGGTGGTTGGATGGATGGATGGGTGAATGGATGGATGGATGGGTGGTTGGATGGATGGATGGGTGAATGGATGGATGGATGGGTGGTTGGATGGATGGATGGGTGAATGGATGGATGGATGGGTGGTTGGATGGATGGATGGGTGAATGGATGGATGGATGGGTGGTTGGATGGATGGATGGGTGAATGGATGGATGGATGGGTGGTTGGATGGATGGATGGGTGAATGGATGGATGGATGGGTGGTTGGATGGATGGATGGGTGAATGGATGGATGGATGGGTGGTTGGATGGATGGATGGGTGAATGGATGGATGGATGGGTGGTTGGATGGATGGATGGGTGAATGGATGGATGGATGGGTGGTTGGATGGATGGATGGGTGAATGGATGGATGGATGGGTGGTTGGATGGATGGATGGGTGAATGGATGGATGGATGGGTGGTTGGATGGATGGATGGGTGAATGGATGGATGGATGGGTGGTTGGATGGATGGATGGGTGAATGGATGGATGGATGGGTGGTTGGATGGATGGATGGGTGAATGGATGGATGGATGGGTGGTTGGATGGATGGATGGGTGAATGGATGGATGGATGGGTGGTTGGATGGATGGATGGGTGAATGGATGGATGGATGGGTGGTTGGATGGATGGATGGGTGAATGGATGGATGGATGGGTGGTTGGATGGATGGATGGGTGAATGGATGGATGGATGGGTGGTTGGATGGATGGATGGGTGAATGGATGGATGGATGGGTGGTTGGATGGATGGATGGGTGAATGGATGGATGGATGGGTGGTTGGATGGATGGATGGGTGAATGGATGGATGGATGGGTGGTTGGATGGATGGATGGGTGAATGGATGGATGGATGGGTGGTTGGATGGATGGATGGGTGAATGGATGGATGGATGGGTGGTTGGATGGATGGATGGGTGAATGGATGGATGGATGGGTGGTTGGATGGATGGATGGGTGAATGGATGGATGGATGGGTGGTTGGATGGATGGATGGGTGAATGGATGGATGGATGGGTGGTTGGATGGATGGATGGATGGATGGGTGGGTGGTTGGATGAGAGGATGGATGCTCTCGATTTTTATTTCAGTTTTAGTGTTAATTTAGTGCATCAAGTTAAACTAAATGAAAATGAAAAATGATGCCTGTGCATCTAGCTGGGAAAAAAGGTTTTTACATATTTTATTTCATTTAATATTATATGTCAAGTAACACAAATGCTGATTTTGGTTTTAGTGTTCGCTCTGTTTACCTCCAGGTCCGACGCTCCTCATATCAGTGTTGACAGACGTGCTACATCGACACCAAAACCCAACCGAGCGGCGGCCGCGGAGGACAACCCTTCACTCATTTACTCCCATACAAGCTCTTATTTAGCGGACGAACGACGGAACCAATCCGATGCCTTAAACGAGCTGCCGCGTTCTCCCGTCTCCGCAGATTCCGTCCGCATCTCGTCTGTAGTGTGTGAATCTCAGGATCATCTGGATGCGTGTAAAGTGTGTCTCGTGAGTTTATATCGCACTCTGTCTGTACTAGTGTTAGTTTCTACGTCTCCGGAGGAGAATGAAGAACCGGATCCTCCTGTTGGCATGCACATGTAAACACGGTTCGAACCTGACGGCCTTTGATCACTGCCGCACACAGACCATCTGCTTTGGGTATAAAGGACAGATGCAGACGATCATACGTGTTGCTGTGTGTAGAGAGGCTGCGCTTCTGTGATTTCTGCTAAAGCTGGGCTTCATCTGCAAGCGTCTGGATGTTCACTGGAGCGGCGTTTGCACAGTTCGGACCGAATCGCTCGCTGCTGCTGAATCTGACGCTGACTCTGTTGTGTTCGCTGAACGATGCATGCTGCAAACTTGCAGACGCGAGATTAGTCTCATCTTTAGGTTTAGACTCCAGCTCAAGAGTGTTCTGTTCCGTCAGACACACCAGTGAGTTCACAAACGTCTTTACAGATGCAGAGATGTAATATCAACTAAGTGTCGAGCTGTAAATACTGAAACTAAAGCAACTCTGTATCGTGTTGGATGAACTGATCGAAACTCTCTCTCCAGAACGGGCTTCACTTGATGGGTTTTCTTTCGTTTGTGTCAGAACTCGTTTGTCTTTTGGTGCCATTCTTGTGTATCGTGTGACTTCAAGTAGCCGAGCAATCCACAGTCGCCACCACGAGTTTAATGCGTGTTCATTTGGGAAAAAATAAACGTTTGAGTACGTATTCTTATGAGCTGGAAATGAGTCGTTTTGTGTGAAGAATAAAAGACGTCTGTAGACCTCAGTCCACATGAGCTTCAAGCAGACTGCTGTTCCTCTTCTTGCGTGTATGCTGTGTGTATCTTTTGCAATAATTGGATGCAAAAACGCTCAAAATGCATATTAAATGCATACAAAAATATGTGCCAATGGGATAAAAAAAATGTTGTGGGGGGAAGTTGCTTTCTCTGACCTCAGCAGCAGATATTTGTTCTTATTTTAAGCTTAAAATCGCTTGATTTTGATCATTTTTTCAGAAAACAACACCTAATATCTTCAGTCATTTTGCTTCTCCGGTAGATGTGTCTTGATTTTAAAATGTTTAGATATTTACACTGAAAATTAAGACAAAAACACAGAGGAAAAACATACAGCTCTGGAAAAAAATAGACCACTTGAAAACGCTCAGTTTCTCTGAAGTTGTGTTTGAGTAAAAATGTACTTTGTATGTTTTATTCTCTAAACTATTGATGACATTTCTTCATGTTCATGATGCCATGTTTTCAGACATGTTTATATTAATTTATAGATGACACAATACCAATGTTTTAACTAAAGAAGGGTTCAGAAATCAATATTTGATGGAATAACCCTGATTTTCAATCGCAACAAATGAAAACACTTTGTTAATATTTTGACCAGTTGTCATTTTCTTAAGAAAAAAACATGCTCTACAGGACTATTTTTATTTTGAATTTGGAAGAAAATATTACCAGACCTCAATAGAATAAAACAAATATTAACATTTTACTCAAAAGTAAATCCAGAGAAACTTTTCAAGCGGTATCTTGCTGTAGTTTTCGCAGTGTGCTCTCTTGAAGCATCTCTTTCCTGATATATTACTGTCATTTTGTAATTTTATTGCAGAACAATGGATGAACAAGGAGAAACACGTGTATAGGCTATACTGAAAATACACATATATCAGAACAAAAGCTTAAATCACATCTTTAAATAAACTCATAAATCCAGCATTGCCAAAATGTCATTATGTTACAGCAAATAAAGCAATAATAGAGCGTGATTGGACAATTTGAATTGGCTCGAACTGATTTGGAAGTGAGCGCACGTGATCAAACATGGCGGCAGGTCGCGCATGCGTGTTTCCTGGAATGAACAGGTGAGTGTCAATGTGAACGTTATAGCTGTTGGAATCATAAATCTCATAGTTTGCAACGTTATAGTGTAGTAATAAAAAAATTCTTAGGAGTGTTCCAGAGAGCCATTGGTCTGTTTGTTTGATGAGTCGGATGATGCTTGATTTAGGCGGGAGAGTCCATTTGTAATTAAAAATACACGTTATTTTTAGTTCTGAACTTTATTAAGTATTACGGTAAGACCATATGAAGTGCGCTGTAGGTTTAGGAAACAAAATGCCTGCAAGCACAGTTGATGGGAGAAATGAATCATTTCGAAGCTTTGAATCAATTGAACCATTTTGCGACTCAGAATGATTCACTGTTTCGAATCACTCGAGACGCCACGTGCTCAAAACTGTGAATCATGCAACAAAAACATGCATAAAAACAGCTTTTACAAACCCATTGCAAATGTTTTATTGAAAGTATAATATATTAAATGCAATTACCAAGCCATCGAATGACATTAAATAAGAAGTGTCTGTATAAAATCTGTTTGTTTATTAATTTGCAGGGCTTGTTTTGTTTGTTTTATGGAGGACTTGTCTAGACAGGAGAGTAAGATACTACTAATCTGTCTTCCTTTTAATTGCATAAATGATTCAAATTAAAAATGTATAAAACTAATCCGAGATCAGGTAAAAACCATAGACAGCGCTGTGATTCATCATCGCCCCCCAGCGGCCAAACACTAACATTTAGAAACAAGTCACGTGACTTTGCGAGTTCGATACACGCTCCGAACGTTGGTTCGAAGCAAATGATTCACAAAAGTTTCGAAGCACAAAGTGCTTCAAAAGTATCCACCAATACCTTCAAGACGTTTAACTAGAAATGGTTAATTGATGCTTTCGAAACACTGCTGCATGAAAGTACGAAACCATGAATCTGTTGTTTTGAATCAGTGAATCGGTATCGAACTGGCCGAATCACGTGAGTTTAGCAAACGATGCTTCGTGACGTCATACCGATGTTTCACCGCTCGAGGGCTTTTGCTCTGATGAACCATGTGACCCAGGAGCACAAAACCCAGTCATAAGAGTCACTTTTTTGCAATTGAGATTTACACATCATATGAAAGCTGAATAAATAAGCAATATTTGAAAATCTGGAATCTGAGGGTGCAAAAAAATCAAAATATTGAGAAAATCGCCTTTAAAGCTGTCCAAATGAAGTTCTTAGCAATGCATATTACTAATCAAAAATTAAGTTTTGATATATATTTATGGTACAAAATCTACAAAATATCTTCATGGAACATGATAATCATCCTAGGTGTGTATGACTTTCTTCTTTCAGACGAATCCAATCGGAGTTATATTAAAAATTGTCCTGGCTCTTCCAAGCTTTATAATGGCAGTGAATGGGTGTTTTTGTTCAACAGTCCAAAAGAAGTCCAATAAAGCGCATCCATCCGTAATAAAACGTGCCTCACACGGCTCCAGGAAGTGAATAAAGGCCTTCTGTAGCGAATCCATGTATTTGTGCAAGAAAAATATCCATATTTAAAACAGGAGGCCTTTATTCACCCCCGGAGCCGTGTGAGGCACGTTATATTACGGATGGATGCGCTTTATTGGACTTCTTTTGGACTGTTGAACAAAAACACCCATTCACTGCCATCATAAAGCTTGGAAGAGCCAGGGCAATTTTTAATATAACTCCGATTGGATTCGTCTGAAAGAAGAAAGTCATATACAGCTAGGATGCCTTGCCCTTGAGGGTGAGTAAAGCATGGGCTAATTTTCATTTTTGGGTGAACTAACCCTTTAATGACGAACACGTGTGTATTAGAGTGTGTTAGACTTTAAATATAAGTGTATTTAAGGTGTGTTGGTCAGAAACATGAAGCACATCTACAGCAGCAGCTTTTACAACAATTTATTTGATTTTAGCGCATTAAAAGTGACAGTCAAAGTTATGAAATCTTTCAGGTGTATTGTCAAAATAACACAAGTAAACTAATTTACGAGAATAGATGTCATCAGGAACGTTCAGAAACTGTTGACAAACTCATTTTTTAAGTGTAATTTGGAACCGTGTAAATGATCTTATTATTACTATGAAAATGTATTGTGATTTTTAATGCGTTTCTAACCTAGTTCAGAACCAGAATCGATAACGCCCAAAGGCGAGCGACTGACAAAGTTGTTTTTTGCTCTTACACACTCAACAAAAGCATCATAATTTGAACATCTTGATTCATACATGATAAAATGACTTCAAACTTGAATGTGCACAAATTAGATGTCACTAACAGGCGTCTTAGGAAAGTCGGTCAGTGCAAAAACATTCAGTTCCATCCAAAAAATAGCAATTCATTCGATAGTTGAAATATCATTCAGTAGAAACAGACCTATTAAAAAAAATCACACAAGAAAACGTTTAAAAAGGAGATTAAGTGATTGCCAATTGGCTGAATGTCCCTGAGTGCGTCGTTCGTTCTTGATGGGCGGAGCTTAAAGCACCAGAGGGGCGTCGACCTCATTAGCATGCTGGTGGAACTTTGGCCCAATCAGCTTCTCGCTGAACCGCGCAGGCTCCGCCTCCTTCCGCCACTCGGCTACAGGATTGACGTACCACATGACCGCACCGGACGGATTGATGGACACCACAAACTCTGTGCTGTCCTTCATCTGAGGCAAGAGCTGCTCCGAAAACACGTCATACACCTGAGAGAGAGGCCGAGACATGCATAAATCACCTGCGATGGACCGGAGCTGCTGCTGCTGCTGCTGCTGCTGGTGTGTGTGTTCATGGAGCTCACCTCATACACCCCAGTCTTGTAGCTTAGCTCCTTCAGAGACGTTGTGTAGCGATAAGGCATATCAGATCTCCTGCTGAAGAACACCAGAGCGCTGGATCCTTTAGCCAGGGGCCGCCAGAACACCTCGATCTGGCTCTTCTCCTGACAGAAACACAGTGAGAACCAGTGCAACAAAATATACAGATGACACTGAACTAATCAGTAACCTATAATTAGTCAATTATAAATATTAAAGTAATAAATAATAACAAAAAAATTTAGAAATAAATGTAATACTGTAACATAACATAATATTTCGCACATTTATAATAAAATTACTTTTTTACAATATATAAATTGGCAATTTATTAATGAAAACATGAAAATAAATTAACTAATAAAAATACTAAACTAAATCAATTCGATTAAATTAATAAAAAAAAAATCTAAATTAAAATTACTCAATACTGTATCTAATCCTAACAGCTACTATAGTGAATATAAACAAATGTAATAACATGAAATAATACTAACTAAATATTATATAAATATAAATATTATTATAAAAAACAGTAAATATTGAGTGTTTATGCTTGAAAACATATGTCTGTGAAAAGAAATGAATGAAAATCAGATCAAACTATATTAAAATTAATAGAAAGTGATTAAAATAATGAAAAAACGGTACAATATTACACGGAGCAGAAACAAATGTAATGCTGTAACATAATAGAAATTAGTATTTTCCAAATAATATTTATAATAATATTAACTTTTTTCACAGTATAAATTGAGTCTTTATACATGAAAACATGTAGCTGTGAAAATAAAATGAAGATGAGATTAAACGAAACATGCAAAAAATTGACTAAAATAATATTTAAAATAAATAATACAGTGACTAATTCTAACGATACAGTAATATAACAAGTAGAATTAAATGTAATCGTGTAAAATAACCCCATGATATTCTCCAAATAATATTTATAATATGACTTTTTCACAATATAAATTGCCACTTTAATAAAAAAATAAAAATAAATTAATAAAAATACTGAAATAAATAAATCAGATTAAATTAATAAAAAATAATTTTAAAATAATTAAAATGACTTAATACAGTATATAACCCTAACAGCTACTATAGTGAATAGAAACAAATGTAATAATGTGAAATAATTACGGCTGTCAGTTTAACGCGTTAGCTTAATTAATTAAAAAAATAAAATATTTAACAAAATATGTAAATTTGAATAAACTGATGAAAAATTGACTAAAATATTTAAATCAATAAATAATCCAGTATCTAATCCTAAAAATACTATAAGTAATATAGTAACTCCAAACAAATGCAATACCCTAACCCATATTTTCCAGATAACATGTTTATGATAAAAAATTTTCACCATATGAATTGGGTTTTTAGAATTTCAGGATGGGGACGATCGTATTTGTTCCTTTAAAAGACTGAAAGACGTCTCACCTTGATCAGGCGTCTGCCCTGGATGCCCAAGCGGTCCTGACTGATGCCGATGGCGATCTTATTCTGCAGGATCGCGCGAGCGCCGCTGCTGATCGTACGCAGATCGTTAGACATGAAGAGGGGCGCGGCCATGATCGCCCACAGAGCCATCTGAGCACGTGATTGGTCCATGCTGAGGCCGAAGTCTCCAATGATCAGCTGAGGACGAGACGTACATATATTTCTGTCATGACAACTCTGGGAGGGATTTGCATGGTAATGTACATGACAATGTTAATGTATTTGGTCTTGGCGGAATAGATCTGCTACGCTGCTGCGGCAATACATCCACAACATGCTGCTGTGAGCATGTAAGAAATACTGCTGCTGCACATATAACATACATGAAATAACCCCCATATAGCGTACATGAATCACCTCGTAGCAGATCTATACAGGTGGAGCTGGGGAAGGTGGAGGGTTTCTGAAGCAAGCTGCGACTGCTACGGCAAGCACTAGTCATATATTTGAATGTTGAGCAGCGAGCTCATTGGCTACCGATACAGGAGAGAACCAATCAGCTGTGCCATGTGATGATGATGTCATTAGGTCAGATTGAGTTAGACCTATCGGACTGCGCCATCTAGAGTTTCATGCCAAAACTCTGTATTTCCCTGAATACGCTCACCATGTCGGGGTCGTTCCACTGGCCAGGTCCGGCCACGGGCTGCAGAACGTCCTGATTATCAAAGAACCAGTCGACGATGCTCAGCACACTGTCCCATGAGTCCTGGATATCATCGTAGTTCCTCCACAGGTTACAGATCTGACCCAGCAGCGTGTAGTTCACCTGAGACACAACAAACTCAGCGCTAATGGACAACTAGACAAAAAGTTCGTCAACACAAACTTTAGGTTGCTTGATAAAGCCTAACCTGAAAGTTTAGAGCAGCTGTAAAAGCTTGAAGTTTGAAAAGTTAGATAGATTAGATGATTAGCATGTTGCTAATCATGTTTCTACCATTATTATCATTTAGTTAGCATGTTGCTAGCATTTTGATAGCATGGTTAACATGTAAACATGATCAACATGGATTTAGCATGATTAGCATTTGTTACTAACACGATTAGCATGCAGTTCACATGTTGCTAATCATGTTTCTAGCATGATTAGCATGTACTAGTTAGTTTGTTGTTAGCATGTTGCTAGGATGCTTCTAGCATAATTAACATGTTGCTAGCATGATTAGCATAAAGTTAGCATGTTGCTAGCATGCTCCTAGCATGATTAGTATGTTACTAGCATGTTGTTAGCATGATTAGCAAGTTACTAGCATGTTGCTACATTACATCACTTTAAAGCTGCACGATTAATCATTAAAAGATCACGATCTCGATTCAAATACCCACAAAAAAAATTGTGATTCTCAATTTATCCAGAATCATGCAGCTCTACATCACTTCCACTTCCTGCTTTCTACTCACTTTCGGCGGGAGGCCACCCTGATAGGCGGGCCAACTGCAGGAGTAGCCAATGGGACGGCCCGTAGCGTTCAGGGCCTTTGACATCATTGGGTAGCCTGGATTTAATTAATGACAGAAGATAATGAATAAAAGTCTTCATCGTGATATGACCTAATGTGATTATTAAGCAATCAATGCTGCCAACAGATTGCTTATGATCTACTGCTGAATATGAATGAAGACATATTTGTGTTTATTCTATCATTTTTATTTTGTAATTATTGTAGATGGTTGTAAGATGCATATTTGATCTGTTTGAATGAACAGCTGGAAGTACTAAAGCATAAGTGTTTCAAAATAAGAGTCCTGCTGTATTTTGGGCTTCTTTATAATTAATTAAAAGTCTTGCATCATGCATCTTTTTTCTGGGTATAATTGCTATTTTGTTAATATCATGTATCTGGCATTTAATTTAACGCCAACTCTCTCAGCAAGAAAAGACTAATAATGTTATTCAACACATTCAATATATAGATTTTACTATTAACGGCACAATAATCTGTTTATTGCTTTTTTTTTAAAAACGCATTATTATCGTAAACTTATTTTGAGCTCAGTAAAAATTAAATAAATATAATAAACTAAGAATGTAAAAAATAATATAGAATACAACATAAAACATTTTTAAAAAACTGAAATAAAATATAATATATAATAAAATAAAAATATATAAAATACATATAATATAGAATATAATATAAAATATAATTTACATTCATTGTACATAAAATAGGGGAAAAAATATATAATATAGAATTAAGTATAAAATGAAAACATACAATACAAATAACATAGAATAAAATATTTACAAGTATTTAAAAAGTAAGTACTGTTCCTTTAATATTGTTTTTGGAGTCGTTATTTACTTTAATTGTATGGAAAATAAGAAAAATTAAAACATAATATAGAATAAAATAAAAATATAAAATACAAGTAATGTAGAATAAAATATTTTAAAAAAATATTACAAATGTTTAAAAAATATTCAATTTTTAATATTCCATAAATATTGTTTTTGAGTTGTCATTTACTTAATTTTACAGCGAATAGGAAAAATAGTGATATATTAGTACATAAACCAATTTCAGTACAAATGTATATATTTAATAAAACATGATTTGAGTGTTTGAGCATGTGCCACAAACTGTTAAAGAGTCTGAGACACATGATTTGTTCTGTATGGATATACAGTATTATTTTTTGTTTGTGTAAATGTGATTTTAACCCCGTGTCTCTGTGACTGAACTGAACTGTGATGTTAAAGCGTCTCACCCTGTTCCTGGTAGGATGAGTTTGAGTAGCAGCCGTCCAGCTTCAGCATGTCGATGCCCCAGTCGGCGAAGGTCTGCGCGTCCGTGTCGATCTTGTCCAGCGTGGTTCCTGGATATCCGCCGCAGGTGTGAGTGCCCATGTCTCCGTAGATGCCCAGCTTCAGGCCGCGGTCGTGAATGTACTGCGCCAGATGAGCGATGCCATGCGGAAACCTGCAGGAGAAACATCAGGTGAATAGGGCCCTATGAAATCCGTTTTATTTCTTCCCCAAATTCCATTTTATTTTTTCCCAAATTCTGTTTTATTTTCCCCCAAATTCTGTTTTATTTTATTTTTTCACAAATTCGGTTTTATTTTTTTTCACAAACTCCATTTCCCCCCCCACAAATTCCATTTTATTTTTTCCCGAATCCCATTTTATTTTCCCCCAAATTCCGTTTTATTTAATTTTTTCACAAATTTGGTTTTATTTTTTTTCACAAATTCAAATTTTCCCCCCACAAATTACATTTTATTTTTTCACAAATTACATTTATTTTTTCACAAATGCCGTTTTATTTTTTCCCAAATTCCATTTTATTTTTTCCCCAACTTCCGTTTTTTCCCCCAAATTCCATTTTATTTTTTCCAAATTCCATTGAATTTTTCCCCCCAAATTCCATTTTTATTCCGTAAATTTTTCTGGATTCCGTTTTTTCTTTTAACATTTTTCTTTACTCCTTTTTAATGGTTAAATTAAATATTATTAATGTCTAATTTATTAAAATCATGAAACTTATACAATTTCACATCAATTTATTAAAAGTTTAACAAAAATTACATGTTTAGGGCCTTATGAAATTTTATTTTTTCCCACCATATGTTTTATTGTTACCAAATTCTTTGTTTTAGCATGTCTAATTATTTTAATGCATAAAACAACCTAATTTATTTAAAAAAATTCTTAAAATAGCCTTTTGAAATGTTTTTTTTTCCCCCCTCAGAAATTCTGTGTTGTGTATTTACAGTTTTCTGGTTGAAAATGAAAGTATATAACATTATTTTCAATTATCTTTTAATTACTGAAAATTTAACTTTTACATTTTTTTTATTAAAACATTGAAGAAATGTTGTGTGATTATTCCTTACAAAAATAAGTTTTAATAATTTTAGTAGTAGAAGTATTACGTACATTCTACTGAACAACAGTAATATATTTCTGGCACAAAGTCTTCAAGTTAAACCGAACTTTTATTTTGACGGGTTGCCGTGAATACCTTTACATTTCTGTGTGTATATGATATTACGCTAGTTTTATTAAAATGAAGGGTGAAATGGTCATGAAGTGACTCTCAGAGCAGTTCTGGAGATTTTTTAATTTACGGCTTAATATTTACAGACACTAGTCCATATCGCAATTTGATTTAAGTGTAATGACCTACTTTTGATTAATTCATTTAAAGTTTGGCAAATTCCGTGACATTCCGCGTTATACAGTAACGTTATATGTTTCTGCATCGCAGAAATCACAGGACCCTAGGTGAAGCTGGAGCGCGTTCAGACACGCTGAGGTCAGGGGTCAGGGGTCAGCACCTCTTGGGGTCGGCCTGCAGTCGGCCCTGACTGTCTCTCTGCATTGAGGACCAGCAGTCGTCGATGTTGATGTAGACGTATCCCAGCTCTCTCCAGCCGTCCTCCGACAGTCTGTCAGCCATATCCATGAACAGCTTCTCACTGAACATATAGCAGTATCATTAACTAAAATTAAACTAGTAAACACGAAATAATGAAATGTGACCCTGCAGCACAAAAGCAGTGTTAAGTCGCTGGGGTATATTTGTAGCAATAGCCAACAATACATTGTATGGGTCAAAATTATACATTTCTCTTTTATGCCAAAAATCATTAGGATATTAAGTAAAGATCATGCTCCATGAAGATATTTTGTAAATTTCCTACCATAAATATATCAAAACTTAATTTTTGATCAGTAATATGCATTGCTAAGA